CACTAATCAAGATTTTAAATGTTGATATCGATGGAAATGTCGATATCTTAATTTTATGGAAATGTTGATGTTGATCGATATTTCTAGAAAAGTTATTAAAAAATTCGTAAAAATTATTTAAATTAATAAATAAGCATTTTAACATTTCTAAAAAATGATTAATATTAATATACACCTGATATTTTGTTGATATTTTTTTTATAATTTATCAAATTTTTTGTAATACTATGGAAATGTCAATTTAATCCTTGTCGAACCTATGGATAGATGGAAATGTCAATAAAAATGTCGACTTGTCTATGAATATTTAATACCCTACCATTAACTCTCTCAACATTTTTTTTTTAATTTGGTAAAAAAAAAGAACTATTTAAATATAATTATTTTTAAACTAATTTTTAAAATATTTTTGCTTTTATTGAGGCAAAGCTTGTCCAAGTGGTTAAGGGTAAGCAAAGTCGTCTTTTGAAGAGACGACCTTGTCTAGAACTCCAAGTGACAAAAAATTTGAAGACATGACATTGCCATATTTAAGCTAATGTGGTCTCTTCAAAAAACAACTTTGTATTACCTTAGCAAATAAGTCTCTTAAAAGGATGACTCTGTGGTATATACGGTAAAAGAGACGACTTTTAGCTATTTGGACCATCCTTAGTTTGCCCAAATAAAAATAACAATATTTTAAAAATTAGTTTTAAAATAATTATTTATTTTATAATATTAAAAAATCTCTCTCTAAATGCAAATTTAAATTCAATATTTTCCAAAATTTCTATGGTCCTTTTTTCTGTTTCTTTTTCCTTTTTCCAATTTTACAAATTTCAAGACACTTAGTTCCCACCATAAATCTCCCCAACTCCAGTAGTACTAAAAAAAAGTCACTTAGTTACAAAAATTAGTAGCCCCATTGAGTTTTATTTGTTCGCTTTTATTTTCATTTTTGTAACTGTTGTTTTGTTTTTAATTATTATTGTAAAGTTTATTTTTTGTTAGCTAATTATTTTGGCCAAAAAAAGATAAACTAAAATCTGCCATATTTGGATTAATTAAATAAAATGTTTTTCTAACTGCAAAATTCTGTTTTTCTTTTCTTAGTCTCTTCTATTTATTATTTTTGGATTCAAAGAGTTATCTCGAAGTTTTAAATATTGATGTCTATGAACATATTAAGGTCTAAATTTTTTAGAAAGGTTGATTAGAATATCGATAAAATATTGTTGTCGATGGACTCTTTTAGAATATAGAAATAAAAATTTTATAAAAAATATTTACATTAACAAATAAACATTTCACATTTTAAAATAAGTTAAAAATTACTAATATTAATATTATGTTCATATTAGTAATATTACTAATATTTTTTTATATATTTTTAATATTTTGTCATTTTATGCGATTCTATAAAAATGTCGATTCATCCCTTATATCGTTGTCTTTTACATGAACATATTAAAATGACAGTAAAAAAGTCTAACATGTTAATGGAAATTTAATACCCTGATTTGAGTGAGAACTTTTATAATTGATTTTACAAAGATGGTAGATTTTTGTAGTTTTAGTGGCAACATATTATTATTAAAAAAACTATTCAAATATAAATACGTTAATCCATATTAATTGAGCCTATAAAAATTTAATGGGTATATATGTACATATTTGTTTTAATCCTATTAACATAGTGAGTATGATATAAACAACTTAGGGTAATGATTTTATACCAAATATAATATATGTTTCCATTCATCACTATTTCTTTTTTGATGATAAAATTCCATAGTGTAGTTAGTTTGAGAAAGGACCACTTTTGTTCAAATAATTTCATGCTATATCGCTTTAGGCTTCAACCATTATTAATCAAATAGATCTACGTTGATCTTCTAATACCTTTGATTAAACTTAGGACAGAGTCATAATAATTCTACTTTAGTTTCTAAATTTTTAAATGTCTATTTTAATAACTAAACCATACAAATAAATACTATTGTAATCCTTACCGTTAATTTTTCTTAGTTTTCGCTGAGATTTTCATTAAATGTACTATAATAAATTTCTTAAAAACCCATCCATTAGATTTTGCAGAAAAAGATTAGGATAAAAGTAAACTAGTATGATAAAAACTATTCTAACAAAAAAAAAGTGTATTACAATTTCAACAATAGAGTGGAAATTCCATAAATAGAAATATTATTAATATCTTGACGAGTTAAATTAGGTTGGTAAAAACTATTTTACATTCAAATGGAAAGACTAAAACAAATAAGTGTTGATCAATTTGGTAGAATAACAATATCAAGTATAATCATCGCCTATAGGTTGACTTAGTGACACAATGGTACATTAGGTTAACGGCTTGGGAACTTTAGAGATAAACGTTCAAATCTTATGTTAGCCAATTATCTAAGATAAAATTCTAGTGTTTTAAGATAGTTGAATGTTTTCGAATCTCCTGATTTATCTCATGTGATTAGTTAAGATACACATAAATTGGTCCAAATATATCAACAAGGAAAATAGTGTTATTGGGTGTGATGGTAAAAAAACTCAATAATAGATTTCTAAAAAGAAAATGTTTTATTTAATTAAGAAGCATTGCTTCTAACTCATTTGCTAATATTCCTTTTTTTTATTTTTTGTTTTTCATTTCCTATTCTTTAATAAATGAAAACATAATTGTATTTGGTAATTATTTCTTGTTTGTTGTTCTTTATTTTTTATTGAAAAAAGAAATAAATTGATAATTTTTTATTCTTTCTCTTTATATAAAACTTTAATATTTATCATATATTTTCTAAGTTAAGAATTAATGAAAAACAATATTTTTGTTTATGTTTTTTAAAAATGGAAAAACAAACTAGAAACAAAAAAAAAAAGATTTTGTTGTCCTAAACATTTCCACACAATTTTAAAAACATTTTTAAAAAATGAAAAACGAGAAAAAATAGCTATTAAAAGCTTCGAGCAGAAAATAATCCTATTTGACCACTATACATTGCTAATATTAAAAAATGTAATAATCGAGAATCTCAAGTAAGTGGCCAAGCCATTAAAGTAACTAAAGTGGTGATAAACCCTAAAATGGGTCATATGGAAAGTCCATCGATTCCCAATCTCCAGTTAAAAAAAAAAGAGATCCATTTATCAAAAAAAGGGTCCTTGAGTAATATATATATATATATATATATATATATATATATATATATAAACATAATTTATAAAATAGATTATATAATATTTTAAATAATAATTTAGAAAAGTTATGACATAGTTAGGTGATGAGTTCAAATCTCCACTTCCACTTATGTACTAAAAAAATTAATTAATAATATTTTAATTTGAACTAAATATTTATTTAGTGTGGTTAGTACTGGTTTACAAATATATTATTAAACACTTTTGAATAAATTTTTAAATTAAGAATCAATTTCTAAATCTGCTATCAAACCCATACTAAAAAATATCGAAGACATGAAATACAACTTTGTGCACGTTTATATTTAAACCACTGAAGATGAGAAACAATAAACAAGAAATGAGAACATTACAACCAAATCCTTATTAGTTGAAGGGTAATCAGCGATAAGGCTACCTAACAAATCTATTGTTGCGACTCATATCTCATTACTTTAACAAAGTATTTAGAAATTACATACATATTTTAGAAATAAATACATCTGTCACTTTCTAAGAAAGTCTTGCCATTATTTTTTATGATTTTGTTTTTGAAATATAGTGAAATAAATGGACATCTTAGGTTTTACCATATATGTTAATATCCCTTATAATTTGTAACATAGCCAAAATTTCAAGATTTACCATTAAAAAATTCACTGCCAAAAAATTGATAAAACCTTTTCTAATAATCTCTTGAAAGTTTTAGTTAAATTATTTACATGTCAATTTTTATTTCAATTAAATCATTACTATTACTATATGCAACAATTCGTTAACAAAATGATAAAGTGACATTAAACACATTTTATTAATTCAAATTGAAATATATTTATGCATAAAGGAGTGCAAGTGGAGTAGAGATAACCATTAACGAAGTTTCACCTTCCCCATGTAAAACGAACTCATTAAATAATAACTAATCATCTTATTAAAAAAAATCAAATTTATTATTATTTTTAATATTTATAATAATATAGTCTTGATTGGAAAAATTCAAAGAGGAAATGACAAAGTTATATATTTGGCCCTAATTTCTTTGAGGAGGATAGACATTTTAACCTTTGAATTATCAAAAAGTTAGGTTAAAACTTTTGTTAAAGTAACGATTTAAAATCTGAACTTTAGTTTTAATAACAATTTAGTCTTCATAATTTAAAAATTGTAACAATTTAATTCCTACCTCGAAAAATCTCATCAAAATTAAGAGTAAATTTTTATTATATAATAATTTAGTATTTGTAATTTATAAATTGGATGCCTTATCATTTCTGGATCTGTACATATAAGAAACCTATCAAATGTTAACAATATGTTTCACGATAAAGTACTAAATCACTATAAATTTTAACTACAGAGACTAAATTGTTATAAACTAAAATTTTAAGACTAAATCGTTAATTCAATAAAAATGCATGAGGATCAGCGGTATTTTTTCAACTAATAAATTACTAATCTTTTATCTAGATGAGCTATTAGAATATTTCTTAAAATCATTAATTCAATATATCAAGCACACAGAGAATTTGATTTTGGCCTTCCATCTTTTCTAGTCTAAAAAATAAAAAAATAAAAAAGGGTCCCGAGGGCAATTCTGTAACATTACATGGCTGTTATTACATTCCAAGTGGGAAAAAAAAGAAAAAAAAGTAGGGTTATTTCCGGTATTTCACAAAAGAAACCAAATTTCGTACGGAACACCCAAGGAAAATTAATTAAATTATATAAAAGAAATTAAATAAAATACCGTTAAATCCGTTGAAGGCGAAGCGTGGCGTATCAGAAGGCCCGATTCTTCTTCTTGCTTTTTGTTTTCTACTCTCAAAACCTGAAAATTTCTTCTGGGTCTCCATTATTCATCTTTTTAATTTCTCATAAAATTAATCTCCTTTTTTTCTTCATTTAATAGTTTCTTTCCTTATTCTCCATCTACTTTTTTTTTCCCGATTCTCTCTTTGTACTTCATAATTCTTTCCTCTATAAATTATTGTCCACAAAACCCTTCTTTTTTTCTCTTTCCTCCACCTTCTTCCACCAATTCAACAGTAACCCATCTCCTCTCTGTTCTCCATTTCTTTTCCCTTTCGATTTCCATCAGGGTTCTTTGCTTTGATTAGCTTTTTTCAGAATTCTTAGCGATTCTGCATATGGGTCGGTTTTCTCAGGGCTGCTTTGTCGCCCAAATTCGCAGAAACTGATCGAAGATGGTAAAATTTTACAGTTCTCAGCTCCCAGGTTTGTGGGGGTGGCTCAAACTCTAACAGTTTATCGAGTTTTTAATCATCCGGCTCGAGAATATTTTATGTAACGTTTGAATTCGTTTGTTGATTTTTTTGAATAAAAGAAACAAAAGAAGTGTTGAGAGCTTTTTGGTTGTTTTTGTTTGTTTGTTTATTGTTGTTGGTTTAAGTGAATTTATGGTATTTTCGTTGAACTGGTAACCCATTGATTTTCTTCGTCTCGTCTTTATCAAGTTATAAACCAATTTCTTGGTCTGCTGTTTTTTTTGCTGCCTTCCATGTGTTTGTGAAAACTCCCCTGTGTTTCTAGGATTCTTTTTGTTTTCCTTTTTGCCTCTTTACTTTCACTCAATCTATCTATAAAGCTTTACTGAAACATGGATTTAATAAACGGCGCCGAGCCTGGCGACGTTTCGGTAGCTAAGAATTCCGGTAACCAAGTAGCAGATATTGTTTCTGGTAAGTCTAATGATCCCCAAGAGAAGGATTTGGGTTCAAAAGTGAAGGAGAAAACTGGAAGCATAAGCAATAAGGACATGATTTTCCGAGCTGATAAGATTGATTTCAAGAACTGGGATATTCAGCTGGACAAGCACTTGAGCCGGGCTTGGTCAAGGGACAGGGAAGTGCCAGCCAAAAAGGAAGAATGGGAGATTGACTTGTCTAAACTGGATATTAGATATGTTAAAGCTCATGGAACTTATGGTACTATTTACAGAGGAAATTATGATGGCAATGATGTTGCAGGTAATGACTTTCACCTCTTTTTGATTTATTTTTTACGCCGGGATTGACCTGAGTGTTCTTGATTAGATGGAGTAGTTTTCAACTCGTTAAGAGGGTCCATCTTAATTGATTATATTTTCTCCTTGCTTGTTTGCATAGAACAAATAGCCAAATTATGGTAATCGATATCCTTATGCGTACATTTTGAAGCTGATGTAGCTGTTTGAGCTTAATCTGGTCAAGTGTTTTTATGTTTGACTCGAGTGCGGAATTATGTTGAATATGTTATGTGTAGTTTGTCTTCCTACAAGAAAACTGCTCGGACAAGCATAGACTTAAGAGCAGTTTGGAAGTACTTTCAGCTTCATATATGAGAGATATTTCTGAACATTAGATGATTAGTGGACAGTATAGTCGAGTTTTAGTTGTTGGATCACTTTATGACGATATTCTGCATGTTGTAGTGAAAGTGCTCGATTGGGGGGAGGATGGTGTTTCCTCGGTTGCTGAAATTGCTGCTCTTCGAGCATCGTTTCGCCAGGAAGTTGCAGTTTGGCATAAGCTTGACCATCCAAATGTTGCCAAGGTAAAACTTTGAACATTTTTATGTCCAAATTTGGTATTATTCTATGTAAAAAACGACTTTAACTATCCATTCATACTGTGATGTTATTCCTTAGTTTTTCATCCAACAGCACACTAATGCTTAGAGGTTATGCTAACAGAGATGGCTTTGATTCTTCAAACTTTATGCTTGCTCTATCCCAAATGAATAGTCCCGTTTAAAAACCATTTTATTTTTTGTTTTCTTTTTTAAAATTTTAGCTTATAAACGCGTTCTACTTCCACTTATGTGTGTGTTTCTTTGCTTTGTTATCTCCTCTTTAAAAATGTTTTTAAAATTTAAGCCTGATCTTAAAAAAAAAAGGTTTTTAAAAACTTGTTTTTAGTTTCAAAATTTAGGTAAGAATTGTGAAAAAACATACTAAGGAGATTGAGAAGTAGGCATAATTTTTAAGAACAGAAAATTAAAAGTGAAACTGTTCTCAAAGTGCCTAGGATGCTCAAATTATAAATTTAATTTTTAATGATTGATTGTCTTACCTAACTTTCAGAACAATGGTCCGTTCAAGTTGTTCATACTGAATTGTCTCAACTAATTACTTTTGTCTTTACTATCAAATGGTTCTCTGGGGCTCTTGAGTTATAAACTTTATTTCTTCACTGTTTTGATGATTGAAGATCAAATAATAACGTCATTTCTAATTCAGTTTTTTGGAGCATCAATGGGGACGTCCAACCTTAAAATCCCTCCCAAAAGCTCACCAAGCGACAATAACCATTCTTTTCCTTCAAGGGCTTGTTGTGTTGTTGTGGAGTATCTTCCAGGTGGAACACTAAAGAACTTCTTAATCAGAAATAGGAAAAAGAAACTTGCATTTAAGGTTGTGATTCAACTTGTTTTGGATCTTTGTAGAGGGTAAGTTTACTTTTACAAATTAGCCAAATAATGCTCTAATGTTTTGTATTTGGGTTTTGTTATAATTGATTGTTTTGGTATTGCAGTTTGAGTTATCTACACTCTAAAAAGATTGTACACCGTGACATTAAAACAGAGAACGTGCTGCTAGATGCTCAAAGAACTCTAAAAATTGTTGATTTCGGTGTTGCTCGAGTCGAAGCTCAAAACCCAAGGGATATGACGGGAGAGACTGGCACCCTTGGTTATATGGCTCCAGAGGTAGCTTCTTCATTTGTCTTTAAAATCAAGTTCTAGAGTGGACTAATGACAGATTTTAGTTAATGAGATTTGATGTTTTTTCATTATACTTAAATTTATACCATGCTTGAAGTTTAAAGATTCAACTCCCACCCGGGCTGCAGTTTTTATCTCTTTGGTTTGAATAAGCAAGGTAACTATAGATTTCTCGTGCAGGTCCTGGATGGTAAGCCTTATAATCGGAAATGCGATGTCTATAGTTTCGGTATATGTTTATGGGAAACCTATTGCTGTGATATGCCTTATCCCGATCTCAGTTTTGCCGAAGTTTCATCTGCAGTCGTACGACAGGTATGTTTATTTCATCCCGTGAGACAATTTAGTTTTCTATGGAGCATGCAGACTTTTCATCATCTACATGCTAAAGTAATTGAACTTCCAAAAAATAATTCAATTCGAAGAATGTTTTATAATATGTTTGTTGGGTGGGTGGGAGAACAGGCCTAAACTGTTCGTTGACTTTTGAGGATGTTGCATTAGACATTTGATCATCATATACATTATATGACGATTTAAGCAATTTGTTTACACTAAACAATGACTTGCAACAGAATTTGCGACCCGAGATCCCTAGATGTTGTCCGAGTTCATTGGCAAATATCATGAGAAGATGTTGGGATGCAAATCCAGATAGGCGTCCAGACATGGACGAGGTTGTAAGTTTGTTGGAAGCCATTGATACAAGCAAGGGAGGTGGTATGATACCCGAAGATCAGGCATCTAGCTGTTTCTGTTTCGGCGTAGCTCGTGGTCCATAATTCTCAAGGTTTTCGTGTTCCATATTCAGACGTTATCCCAAATACTAAATAATGGAAATGTCAACCATTTATTATTGTAATTATATTTTGTTGCATTTATCATAATGTTCTATTGGAACATCTCATTGGACATGTATTTTTTTCAACCTAAACTTTGTTAAAATTCTCTTATAGTTTGTTTTTGGTGGATACATAGGTTTTTTACTAATATCAATATTAAAATATCAATTTTCTTTCTTTTTGATTTCGAATCTATCTCTAGTTTGAAGAATTAAGTTTGATCATTCCAAGTCTCAAATCGATAGGCAAGAAGTTATTGTTGCACACCAATATTTTATATAAACCATAATTTTGGAAGACAGCTGTGTGTAAAAAGGTGCTATCAACTTGCAAAATTTAGTTGAAAATGACCACTAAGTTTATCTAAAAATTTCTATATATATGTTTTATCAAAGTAGAGAATGAGGCCTAAGGTTCAATTTTTTTTTTTTAAGGTTCTAAATTACTTTAGGCCAGACCTGATCATAACAAAATCCTGTCATATTTCAACTAACATGAAAATAAAGAGGAACAAGCATTTAGTTTCTTCAAAAAATAATAATAATAATAATAAAAAACAAACATTTAGTTTGAAAGTAGATACATTTACACATTATTTGGTACAGTTGTAAAAATTGTTATCATTTTGTCCCAGGTTACATAACATAAAAATAATAATAAATAAATAAATAAATTTCTTCATTTGTAATATTTTTTAAAGCTGTTAAATCTCTAAAATGATATTTAATAAATTGCAACTCTACTCTTTTAGTGATTGGATTGGATGAGTTTTTAATTTATCACACTTAATTTTGTAGAGATGCAGTATATAATTAACATTAACAAAAAAGTCAACTATATAAAATATTATGTTGGTGGTTCTATGACACGTGGACACACCTACTCAGGTTGGATCAACTAGACTTACATCGTGATATCTTTTTCTTCTTCATTCTGATTTTTGTTTTCGTATCACGGATCTTGGTTCGCGGTTTATGGCATTTCCACTATAAAAAAAATAAAATACCGCAAAGGATTGTTCATGGAACTACTATCGAGATTCTTTGGACCATTTTTCCTAGTATCATTCCGATGTTCATTGCTATACCATCATTTGCTCTCTTATACTCAGTGGACGAGGTAGTAGTAGATCTAGCCATGACTATCAAAGCTATTGGACATCAATGGTATCAGACTTATGAGTATTCTGACTATAACAGTTCCGATGAACAGTCACTCACTTTTGACAGTTATACGATTTCAGAAGATGATCTAGAATTGGGTCAATCACGTTTATTAGAAGTGGACAATAGAGTGGTTCTACCAGCCAAAACTCATCTACGTATTATTGTAACACCTGCTGATGTACCTCATAGTTGGGATGTACCTTCCTCAGGTGTCAAATGTGATGYTGTACCTGGTCGTTTAAATCAGATCTCCATTTTGGTACAACGAGAAGGAGTTTACTATGGTCAGTGCAGTGAGATTTGTGGAACTAATCATGCCTTTACGCGTGCGCCCGGAAACATAGGCCGACTGCTGAGCCCACTCTGGCTCAGGCGTACCACCTGGGGTGCGGGCCACCCAAGAAGCAAGCTATTACAGCAAGCGGCTGGAGCTATAGGGAGTCGGGAGCAAAGCAGTAGATAAGATCGAAGAAGGGGCTAGGCTCCCGGTGGAGCAGAGGAGACGGTTAGGATAACGAACTTGAAACGCGGAGCCCGAGCG